AAAAATAAATTTCAAGATTTTATCTTTATATTTCTTTCTTAATTTTTTTTTTAGAAATTTCAAGTGAGATTGTGATAATTTTCTGACCTTGAAGGGGTAGTGATTAGGATGAAAATGTGATTGATTTGGTCTTGTTGTTGCATGGTTCTAGTTAGATTTACTTCTTTTACTTGATTAGACCACAAACAAGAAAACCAAAAATACTAACTTGTTGATATAACTAAAAAAATCTGAATAAATTTTATGTCTAGTACGTGTTTAGGTAGTTTATACCTTCTTTCCATTTTTTAGCAATAAATTCCACATGATAACTTCACATTAAACAATTTCATGTCAATACTCATAAAATCCTCACATTAGACAATTTTATATCACTACTTATAAAATCCACATCAATGCTTGATCATGATATGTTAATATTATCGTTGCATCATTTGTAAAATGCAAATCATTATTATCATGTCATCAGATTCAAAGTCATATTAATAAGAAAATATCATGTAAACACAGCCAAATCTCATGTTAGCATAAATAAGTGAAAAATTTTAACACCATTAATGATTACACTGATATTGTTAATTTTGAAAAGTATATGGATTTAATTTTTATAAATTAATGTATAAGAACTAAATTTACCATTTTGACAGAATAGAAGAACTAATCACATAATTAAACCAACTTAAATTGCTAGATAGATTAATACAAATTAAATTACTACAAACTTTTAGCATTCTGAGAGGTCTGTTTGATTTCTCAACCAAAATATTCCAGCATATCTTGACAAAGCACTTACTTTGCTTAATGATTACTAATAGTTAAATTAAATGCTACTTGATGCAGAAGGTTATGGTGATAACTTGTATAATCCTAAGTTGCTTTTAAAGATTTGATTCATTGATTTGCTGTATCTAGGAATAGGATAAGAATATTTTACAACTATCTGGACTGTATAGTAGACTTGTAGTTTTATTGGTTCCATTCCTTTCAAGATGGATGACTCGATTCCTTTTAGGCTTTCACCAAAAGTATATTAATTACATATATTCCGTTACCTTAGGAAGTCAAATAACCGTGATTAAACCCAATGACAATATTACCCTTGCATCTTGACCAATCCTTTCCAGCCATATGATTATATCATAGGAAAAATCAAATGGACTGGGTTGAACCCATTGGGCATTATGGTGACGATATGTAGACATCTCTTTCGTCTCTGTTTCCTTCCCTAGTGGCCTCACTTGGCAGAAGCTCAAAATAGCATACCCATCTTACCTTCCTCCCGCCCCCCTTCTCTCTCTCTCTCTCTCCATCCTTCAACACCATATTCCATCAGAGATAGCATGTTCAGGATTGGATTAAGGTCAGTTTCTTCATGGTTTTCCTTTTGAGTTCTTTGGGTCTTCTTCTTTTGTACTTCTGAGTAATTTTTGAGTCACAGTTCAGGTAAAAACTCGTCATTTTGATAAGATGGGCAACCTGTTTGCACAGCTCCTTCATCTGTTGCACTGTTTTCTGGATGCTTTCCTTCTTTTATTTTTATGGTGTATGCAGCCGGACGTACAGCTTATATCTTGTTTGCTAATGTGAAAACAGCAAAAATGTCTCCATATCAAGAGCTTCACTTGTCCAGAGCTTTTTTAACAGGGAACTGTCGACAGAAACCGGAAGGTATGGCAATGTTCCCAATGCAACTTCTCTTTATTTTTATTCGAATTAGATATTGGTTGTTAGACTCTTGTAATTATTGCATTTCCATGTTTTTACCAGCTAACAATAATAACTTCAACATATTAATATTTTATTAGAGATCTAAATCTCATCCCTCTTAATAAACTCGGAGTGATCTGGAGACAGAAGCTCCGGTCGGTGCCACCAGACTTTTGTCTAGTTCCTTGTCGGTTTATGTTTCCAATTCATCGGAAAAGTACAAAAATAAGTTAGACAATTTTACTTTAATTTGAAGTGCCTCATTTTCATTTGGACGTACTTCTAACTTTATGAGTTTTTAAGCTATTAGATAAAAGGATTTTAATGCCATTAAATTGTCCAAAAACTAGAGATAGAGTTTAACGTTATTAAAACTTGCGGAGTAATGTAAAGGTTTGAACCTTGAAAGGCCAATCTCACTGCCAAGTGCCAACTCTCGCTCGGCCTTTGCCACTGGATTGGAGTTGGCCAATTGTGATTGGAAAGAAAATGATTGTCCATCATAGATAATGAAAATCCAAAGCTTAAATCATCCTCCAGCATACATAAATAAATGTGGGCGGTGTCTTGAGTTGCTACATGTCTGGCCGCTTCACCCTGAAGATTAGATCTTCCATCAAGTATAAAAGAAATTGTTTTTTCTAGTAATACCCGCCCCTGATCGTTTCGATTGGAAATTACCATCAGAGCGGATTCGCCAATTAACTAAACAATGCACGTCAGAGCTTTGGACGATGCCCGATGGAAGGATTGGTAGCTTTTTGAATAGAAAATTGTCTCTTGTTAGTTTGTTCTAATATAATTCTACAACTACTGCTTAAAGAGGGATTTTTCTTCAATTCTTCTCACCCCTTCTTTTTGCATTTCCTTTTGCCTTCCCTATTGATGGTGACCCTTAGGTAATCTTCAACCAATCCCACCTGGATGCCACTACCTCAGGACATTCGACACTGTTCTCTAGTCAAAGATAATTCGCGGAAAAGAAAAGCGAAAATCTTAGTTGTCCTTCTAAAATATTTTCTGATTTTTGGCATATATAAAACTCCTAGTAAGAGCAGTTGCCTACGTATTTGCCTTCATGTATCGGGGCCCTTTCGAAACTAAAAGGTTCTAAACAAAAGGAAAAGAGTGACAAAAGAAAATGTCATTAACTTTTTATGACTCTTCTTTGACTTTTGATTACATGTAAGGTAGTAGTAATTAGTCTGTTTGCTGTAATTAAAATTTTTTCTGCTATGTATACTGCTATCAAAGCAAGCTAGAAGGCAAAGTAGCAATAATCACCGGGGCAGCAAGCGGTATTGGCAAGGCAGCTGCAGCAAAGTTCATTAATAATGGAGCCAAAGTTGTCATTGCTGATGTACAGCACCAACTTGGTGGAGACACGGCAAAAGAACTAGGACCCAATGCCACTTTTGTTTCCTGTGATGTAACAAAAGAGTCAGATATTTCCAATGCTATTGATTTTACCATCTCCACACACAAGCAACTGGATATTATGTACAACAATGCGGGGGTACCTTGCTACACTCCTCCTAGCATTGTTGACCTCGACCTCGCAGTTTTCGACAGGGTCATAGGCATCAATGTGCGAGGAGTCTTGGCCGGGATCAAACATGCCTCACGTGTGATGATTCCACGTAGGACTGGCTGCATTCTGTGCACAGCTAGTGTCACAGGAATGATAGGTGGACTAGCTCAACATACTTATAGCGTGTCGAAATCTGCCGTTATTGGAATCGTCAAGTCCATGGCATCAGAGCTATGCCAGCATGGGATCCGCATCAACTGCATATCACCGTTTGCAGTTCCAACCCCGTTTACATTAGAAGAGATGAGCCGGATTTATCCGCACCTCGATGCTGACAAGCTTGTGAAAATGATACATAATTCTGGTGTGCTGGGCAAAGCGACATTGGAAGCGGCTGATGTGGCTGATGCTGCAGTCTATCTTGCATCTGATGATGCAAAGTATGTTAGTGGGCATAATTTGGTGGTAGATGGAGGTTTTACATCATTTAAGACATTGGAATTTCCTTCGCCAGATCAGTTGCAGTAAGATTTGAAGTGTTATAAATGCTGCTCAAAGGATATATATTGAATTACGATTGGTAAATTTCAAATTTCTTCTGGTTATTTGAAGTCCTGAGTGGCAACAATAAGCTAAACACAAATGAATTTCAGTACCTTCTGGTTTTTGATGGTTGGCCTTCATTATGTTTTCACAACATGACCAGAATTTAGTTTAAACTGAAGTATCTCAAAACTCTTACGAAGATGGAAAACAATGTCACTTGAGAAAGCATTAGAGAATTATTGTCAAGAACTGGTCTCAAAACCTGCGTAACAAGAGGCCCTTATTTTGTGTTGTTAAGTACAAAACTGCTTATAGAGATTGAACAAGGGAGGAGTTGGATTTTAGCCAGCACCAGTTCACAAAGCTATATTTGGGGTTCAGGGGTGAAGATGCATACATCAGCCTGATTTCGAGAGACATGGCAAATGCACGTACTACTCCATCAAACAATTTGGATAAACTGTTTATATTTAATGAAAACTAGCACAACTTATGGAGTCTTAAACTAGCATGGAATTTGCATGGGGCACTCTGTTGTAAGTGTTTTAAGTTAGGAACTAGTATCTGTTCACCATAAAAGCCAAATGTAGTGAACTTCGCAGCTTTTTAACTTAAAACTTTCCCGAAGAGAACTTCAGCATGGTATTCCTTAAGATAAGAATAGGTCCATAACAAGTTTGCGCATGTTGTATTCTGGAGCTGCAAAGAATCAACCAAAATCACCTCAAGTTTTGCTACATGAGGTTGCGTAACTGGTGGAAACATGTAATTCATTGTTCCCATAGCTAATTAAGGAAACAGATTAAGATGAAGATCACCACCAAGGCCACCGCTGGACAGCCTAAACTGGGCTAGATCTTGCCTGACATATAGAATCCAAAAATGAGATTTTGAGAGAGAGTAGGCATGAAACCAAAAAAAGAATGGATATTATCATGACACTCACATTGGTGAAAAAGACATGTGTAATTATAAGCCTCACCAAATAGAAAAAGTTAATATAACATGAGTTGTCCATATACGGAATGCCATTTCAGTTTCATCCAACTTAGTTATCATTGTGCGACAGGGATAATAATAATAACTTTTGGATAGGAGCATTGTCATATGGATTTGTCACATATTTATGTAAGGAACCAAATCTTTCTCATATGTTCTAGAGAGAGAAAAAATATATAATTTTTAAATTGATCTAAAAGTGGGATGTGTATTTCCTCTGCATATAAAATAATTAGATACTAGACATAATATTTGAAAAAAAATTTTTGAAATATTTTAAAAAATTAAATTAATTTTTATTTTTTATTACGTTTAATGAAGTTTTTTTTATTTTGAATAAAATAAATTTTTATAATAAATAATTAATTAATTGTCATTAATTAAAATATTATTATCATTTTATACTTATGTGGCGTTGATGTAAATAATAAAAATATTATATGATTATGTCATTATGTCACATTAATATGTCATGTCATCATCCATTATAACATGCCAGCACCATATATCATAAAATGATAAAGAATATTTTAACTAATAACAATTAATCAATCATTAATTATAAAAACTTATTTGAATAAAAATAAAAGTATAAAAGATTTAATTGAATGTAATTAAAAAATAAGAGATTGCATGAATTTTTATGAATAATTTAAGAATTTTTTAAATATTATATCTAGATATTGCTATGTTTAAAGATTACATATATTGTATTATTTGGTTCATCATTAAAACAAGGCTATCAACAACAGGCTTTAATTAAGATCATCCTAATTGGAATCTGCACTTGAAAATCCTAGCTAGGTTGGACACGATGGTCAAATCAGTTTGGGAACAACCACTTCATACTATCTTTGGTAGAAAGAAAGAAAGAAAAATAGAGGTAAGAAAAAAATGGGTTAGAAAAGAAAAACTGTATTTCCTTCCTTCGGGTTGATACGGAGAATGGAAAATAGAAGAAGAGAAAGAGATTAAGGTAAAATTGTAAATAAAATAATTAACTTAACATGATTTTTAGTAAAAAAAAAAGAGATTAGAAGAAAAATAATATTTTTTTTCATTATTTGGTTCAAGGGAAAAGACAATTAAATATATTTGTATCTTTCGAACATTAAGAAGAAAAAACAGCTTTCCTTTCTATCTTCATTTATTACCCTCCCCTTTATTTTTCTTCCTTCTTATCAAACATAGTCGCTTTTGGAAGGATTAGATTTGATGGGAAACAAACAATGCAAATCTATGCATTCTCTTCCTCCCTCTAATTTCCCTCCTACCAAACTCTTTTCCTTGTACTTTCTTTCCTTTCTTCTTCTTTCCCTCTTACTAAGTGTTAGGTAAAACAGATGAAGATTTTATATCTTTCCTTATAAAGTACTCTACCTCTAAGTCAAAAGGAAACATTAACAGATGAAAATTGAAAAATAATCAGACTCAAAAGGGAATTGCTGAATGAATTAGGAGAAATTGGAATCTATTGAACAGATACCATTAGAGTAAGGAATTTAAATGAAAATAAGAAAGAAAGGAAATTAAGTAAATTAAAATACAAAACCAATACTTTTACCACTCACTAAATATATTAACGAAAAAGTTAATTTATTAGGAAAAAAGATGGATAAAGAATGTTGTTTGACCAAACAAAGCCTTAGTTTAGTATATAAGGTCACGTATATGTTCCAATAGTTACTCTATGGCAATAACCAATCATAACATCAATGTCCTCCTACATTCTCCCTTTAACCTTGATCAGTTCATTGAACAGATCATTAAACACCAGCATTAGAGTAACACCCGGAATAATCCTAGTCCTGGTCCGAATATGCTAAGCCACAAAATATTAGAAATCAACTCCTCTAGATAGCAGTGCTATCCAAAGATGCAATGCCAACTAGGAAATTGACAACGACTAGGGGGGGAAGAAAATATAGCAACTATCACGTCCCTTAAGTTTAAAGAATGTTCTCACACGTCCTACTGGCTACTACATTGCTACTCAATAACAGAGCAAATAAAGTCCACTGGATACTGAATAAGAGACCACCTTAATTTGAATGAATACCACATTGAAATTTCCTTATAACAAGTCATGAATGTTCAGCATCATTATAGGACTATCAAACCCAAGACACAATTTCCCACAGACATAAGAACTTGCATGGCATACATCACATTTCCTACCCATATTTACTTCAAAGCTGCATTTTACCTTAAATTTGAGGAACTCATCATGAACACTGATTTATGCCATACAAGATATCAACAAGTAAGTATGCTTCCTCCAACAGACTTTGACGCTCATGGATCATGTTAGTGGCATGAATTTACTATAGAAGATGGAATACATTAACAACTAAAAAATTTCTTCAACGTGCATTCAACTTTTGTTATGTTTCTATACCATTCGCAGATTTTCTGCAGTAAAACAATCAAGAGTTGTAGCCTTGTGGGTACAACAGATACTCAATTCTCAGAAAGTGTTAGACAGAGTACAGAGTGGACATTACATGAATGATGCACAATTAAAGAGAAAAACAATTCAAAGCACTAACAAGTTGAAACAGTAAATACCGAGCACTCTTCAGACCCTTCAACCGGTCAAGAACTCAACCTACTGCTGCTCTATCCGTTGAATAATTAAGTTAACTGCAGCATTGCTGACGAGAATGCCCCATGGAAGCTTTCCTGATAAGAAATGGATTCTAGTTCTCTAGCCATCTTCAAAAGGATCTCACCGATGTCCGTTTGTTTCTCTAACAAAGATTCATAGTACGACCGGGCAGCAACCTTGCTGATCTCCACATTTGTTTCCTCTGGGCAGTATTCATCATCCAACCATTTATGCAGGGTAACCCTGAGCCATTCTGATTCCTACAAACACAAATGGACGTTATGACACCTAAGAGGCTAAGACAACCGGTGCCAAAGTACATAAATTAATTGTTTTAGACCTAAAGAACTTCTCAATTCATTCAATAAGGCCATGTAAACAGCAAATGAAGAACATAAATGACTCTTAAGCTATTTAATGAAATCAAGTAATGCAGAATTGTTGAACGTCTTACTTACACAAAATAGGAACCAAAAAGACAAAACGGCAATTCCAATTATAAGAATTAAATTAAAAAGAAGTTTAAGTGTTTGGTACCTCCAAGGCCTTGGAAGGGAGTAACCAGTGGTCCGGAACTCTCAGGTCTTGAACTAGGGTTTCTGGGTCTTGTCCTTGCTGATTCCCTCGTGTCTCCGAAGAAGACTGTGATCTTAGAATAATGAGCGAACGCTGGGTTCTTTTGAGAGGAAAATTAGGGGTTGGAACTGACTGAGGGATACGTGCTTGCGACCTACGAAGGTCATCGGAATTCGAGATGGTTGCCGTTGCGGTTGCGAAGGAGAAATATATGGATTTCATTGTTTGGTTAAAGTATTTATACTTGTCTGACGCTTGTTCTGGAATTTTTCTTGTTTCAAGAGGGAGGAAGACAGTCCTTGTCGAATTTGGACGGAAAATAGATCGGTGGCGGGAAAAGAGTGGGTGATTACCCAGTTGAGTATGGAAGTTTCCCGGGAGAGATATTAATATCCGCTACTGTTTTGGATAAGAAGGTGTGAAAACGGCGCCGTTTCCGTTTACATCAAGTTTGTTTATTTAAGACCAAATATCTAAGAAAAATTTGAATTATTTAAAAAAATTAATGGAGAGTTTACTTTTTATTACATTGAATTAATTCATTATATTTTTATTTTAAATAAAATAAGTTTTTATTGTTAACATTTGATTAATTTATGTTAATTTAAATATTAAATAGTCATTTTATATCATATAAGATTAATGTGACATATCAACATATTTTAATAAATAGTGATATGGTATACTAATGTAACATGATGATATTATTATAAAATATTTTTCACTCACTAAGTTAACATCATATCAACATATGTGAGTATAAAATTATAAATGATATTTTAATTAATAATAATTAATCAGTTATTAATTATAAAAATTTATTTAACTTAAAATAAAAATATAAAGATTTATTTAATCATAATAAAAAATGAAAACTTATTTAATTTTTTTTAAATAAGTCAAGAATTTTTTAAAAATATTTTGCCATTAATTAATTTCTCCCAATAATCTCATTCCTTATTATAAAAATATGTAGGACATATTTAAATTTTGAACTCTAATTCAAAAGAAAGATGAGAATTGAACCATAATTCTTGCTTTGTTTTTTTGGGGGGGGGGGGGGTGGTAAAGGCCAAGTGCTTAGAACATTCACAACCCAAAAAGATGGCATTTATTTTGATTTCATTAAACACTTGTTAGCTAGCTTGATAACACAACCTAAATCTACAAGGTACTAGCGTCAAGAAGCATATTAGCTACAGATATCATATTCTTATAGCCATCGCTTTATTCCATAAAAGCCAACATCTATCTTTGGAGATAGCTCACAGCTGCACCTATGTAATGTGCATGGCAGCATTCAGAGGTGCATAGCTTAAATCTCTTTGAAAGCAACATAATTTATAGAACAAACTAGTTCATTTCACACAGGGTGCATTGGTATTAAGAGATGAGGCTGATGGCATTAAAACACACCATACAGGTGATTTCCAAGACTTCAGCAAAGGGCTTTCACTGAGATGTAGAATTTGGTGAGCTTTGATTCAGTATGTCAAGAAAATGAAATGTTAGAAAACCTTCATAAAATTACAAAAGAAAACGATGAAAGAACGAAAATAAGGAATAACGAAAAAGGAAAGGAAAGAAACGTGATTTAGACCTGTAGATTGAGATGCAGATGCAAAACAAGAGCAATAGTAACTCAGCAAGTGTCAAAAAACACCCCCAAGTGTCAAAAAAACACCACAAGAAACCCAAAGATCAGCCAACCAATAGTAGCAAAATGAAAAATAAAAAAATTATGCAAAATAAAAAAAAAAAGAAAACTGAGAAAAACAAGGTGAAAATAGACATACTTGAAGCTAGACTAGGTTCCTCAACAAAACATGCTGCATCCTTCTGGATCTTCTTAACTTTTGAAAGAACCATTCTGAGCACACCATGTTTCATTGTAGCATTAATCCTAAAGATCTCACAGCAAGTGCAAATAAGACTGATGAAGCCAAATAGGTGCGGCTACCTTGTTTATGCTTGCTGTCTTTTGGTGCTTCTCCACAGAAGACTACCTTCTTCTGAGCAACCCTCACGTACAAATCTTGGTTCTCTAATACCTAGAACTCAATGAACCTCTTTGGCCCACTGTTTGAAACTGGTCGGTCTTTGCATAATACCCTTCTGTTTTACACAAAAAACAAGAAACAATGCAATATATAGTTACCCAGGAAAGAATAAAGGCAGATATGATTAAAAACAAAAATGGGCAAAGCAATGCATGAAAATGGAAACTGGACATAACATTTTGAAGATGACCAGTGTGAGGTGTATAACCGAGAATGACTTCTAGCGCTACCATGGAGACTTTGAAACGTCAATGGAGAAAGGTCAAGAGGGTTTATCTTGTCTTCTTTTTGCTGGTAATAGTAAGGTTTTAAGAGACTATTACTTTTGCTGTGACAGTGAGGGTTTTGCAAAGACTAATCAGAAATCCGCAGTTAAGTGTGCTCGGACGATAATACTACTACTACTAAGATGGGTGAAAGTGCAGGGATATAGGGATTTAATTCACTAAAATTGTGATATAAGGAATAAATCCTTAATATTGAAATACTACAGGACCAATCTTAGGCTTCAACCTTTTTAAAAACAGTTCGAGAAATCACATTGAAACCTCTCAAAACATTAGCCACTAGTAAAATCTACTATAACAAACAAACATCAACTCTTCCAGATTCAGAACTTATGCTAGAAATGTTAAGCACAATATGTACACCCACACAAAAAAAACTTCAATATACCTTTCCAACTTTAGCAACTTCCAAAGAAGCCTTCTCAAGATAAAAAACAACCTCATTTTTTTCTTTTTTTGTCTTCTGATCACTGTGGGCAATTGGGATTCCCATAAGTTCATGTGCTCCAAATTCGTCTTCTTCCACTTCTTTATGTTGGGCCTCCCATTTTGGTTTTTTAATAGAAGCTGGCTTAACTGATTCTTTCTCTTCTACTTCTACTTCTTCATCTTCTTCTCTATCATATTTCTCCTCTTTCGTCTTCCGTTTCTTCCCTTTTATAGCATAAGACCGTACCATTTTTGTTTCAGAAAAAAGAAAGAAAGAAAGAAAGCAAGTAGCATAGCAATATAGCACGCTACATCAGATTAAGACTATAAATTTTCAAGAAGTAGAGTTATTTTTCCATTTTAAAATTTTGACCTGAAAATGAAAAAAGTAATTGATATTTATAACATAAACTATTTTCAGCACCAAAAGAGAGGGAGAGTACCTTCGGGTGTGGCAGATATATGAAGATAGTGAAGCGGAATGCCTTGGAGTGTGGAGAGGCAGAGGTAGAAAGAGATCATTTATGGGCTTGAGTTAAGTTTGGTTCAAGGCCCAAGCATAAGGATTGGTGCAGCTGTAGCATGGCCTCATTAGCACAATTTATGACTCAAGTAATATTTATTGGGGGTCAAATTCTACCCATCGTTCCTGATCATTTACTTTAGTTCTATTTTAGTCTTTAATTTCTGAATTGTTTTATTTAGATTTTTAACTTTTAAAGTGCTTCCATTTTGGTCTTTTTGTTATACTACCCTACTAACAATCGAGAAAAATCTTCACAGGAATGTCAAGAAAATGTCCTTGTGGTATGTCACATAACCTAAATCATGAGTAGTAGTTAATTTTAACTAAACAATTTGATGAAAGGTACATAGACTTCATGAGAAAATCAAACAGAAATTGAATATAAGATGAATGAGCATCTTGAAATATATTAACCATTATTACATTAATTATTATTAACTCAAAAACAAAAATTCTTTCTAATAAGTCATTCGCGACTTACGACGTTATCAAAGAAAACTTAATTTAAGTCTTCTTCAAGAGAGCATCAAATCTAGCGCTCCCCTAGTTGGCACTCCTCAAGGCACTAGATCAAGTCAATTGAGCACTCCTCTTAGGTAGATTCAATCGGATTTAGTATTTTACTGTTAAATCTAACTACAAAGTAATCTACAGATCTAAAAGAATGCCACGGATCTATTTGAGAGAAAGAAAAAAAGTGAAAAAAAAAACATTTTAAATAATTTACATTTAAACATTAATGCCATTTACACGTTTGGAGAAAATTAATAAATTTGCTTATAATCATAATCAAAAGTGGAATCAGGTAGTATATTTTACTCAAAAAATATATAAGACATTTTTTAATTTTGAACTCCAATTCCAAAGAAAGATGAGCATTGGACAATAATTCTTGCCCTTTTTTGGGCAAGGACCAAGTACTTAGAATATTCACAACCCAAAAAGATGACATTTGCTTTGATTTCATTAAATACTTCTTAGCCGAGCTTGACTACACAACCTAAATCTACAGGGTACTAGCGTCCAGAAGCATATTAGCTACAGATATCATATTCTTATAACCATTGCTTTATTCCATAAAAGCCAACATCCATCTTTGGAGACAGCTCACAGCTGCATCTATGTAATGTGCATGGCGGCATTCAGAGATGCAGCATGCATAGCTTGAATCTCTTTAAAAACAACATAATGTATAGAACAAACTTCTTCATTTCACACAGGGTGCATTTGTATTAAACAGATGACGTTGATGGCATTAAAACACACCATACAGGTGATTTCCAAGCCTTCAGCAAAGGCCTTTCATTGAGATGTTGAATTTGGTGAGCTTTGATTCAGTCTGTCAATTTCTTCCATTGGGCAAATGACGATCCTTCGGACCTCATACTGAAATTTCCTGTAATGGCAATGACATTTATTAAAAGCAAATCTCATACTATTAAGTTCACTACCAATGCATTCTTTTGGAGCTTGGGGGATGGGGTCTTTATTCAATAGATTTTGCGTTTAGCACTTAACTGCCATGGGTAATCTCCAAGAAGCATCATGTCCCCCTCATCATCAGTATAAGTTACATGCCAGCCGCTGCTTCCAGCGATCAATCTTCCTTTAAAATCAAACATTCGATCAAGCTCACTGATGAGGTTTTCATATCCATTAAATCGAGTGAGATCAACTGATCTTCCAAGTGCAGTTCCATACTTGAGCACCTAAAAGAGAAAGGAATATTCTCAAAAAATCAATTTCTGGAAACCATCATTTTAACCATAGGAGAATTTGGAGAAAGACTGAGCTACGTTTGCCAACTTCATCTGACAATTAATTATGCAATTCAACTCAAACAGAGAAATTTCACCTAAACCTGAACACGAAGAAACAAGTATGCAAAGCAAGTGGCTTTTCATTCTTGCATTCACAAAAATGTACACTTAACCAGAAAAGCAGCAGTACCTTGGTGCAACTCCGGTTGCTGACAGAGCAACTGTTGTTGCACTGCTTGCTAGATGTAACCTTAGAAGGTTCTGAAACACTTGACTGAGATGTTTGAGGAATAGAACAAAGACGTTTAAGCTCACTAGAAGTGAGAACTTGTGGTGAAGGGAGCTCCGGTGGACCATTAACTAAATTTACTCCAAAAATCATGCATCTGTGACCACCGGTCGGTTCACAAAGTGAAGTTTCATTTTCATTCCTTAGTACCAAAGTTCTCCATTCCTGAGAATTGACATATGGAACTGAAAATTTTCTCCTAGCAAGAGCATCGTCATCAACTCCATAAGAGGAGACTGTTGGAGGCCAGTTATTATGAAGACCCAAACAAGCTCCAGAATAGAGTGCTCTGCTGCTGGTACATTGATAAAATGAGTTGCAGATCGGAACCTGAATCTCTAGTTGATTCTCCATCTGCGGTTGCATTGAGGCACAATCAGGATCTAGTGGGAGAACCAAATGTGGCAATGGTTGTCTAAGTGCACAGGATTGATTCACATCTGTGTCATCTTCTTGACCTTGCAAGACCCCTGAGCTACTTTGAGATTCATATTTAACTGAGCCACGCCACATTCCTGGTGAAGAAGAATTATGATTAACAACTGCAAAGTCTACCAACAATATTATAAAACAGAAGACTAACAGTATCATATTCCAGATTCAGATCCAGAGAAATCTCCTTAAAGAGTATGTCTTGAATCTAGACAAGAATATGGATTACCAACCATCCATAAGCAAGCTAGAAAGCCCAGGGGATGATGCATCATCAGTACGAGCCCTCTTTTGCTGACGAAGAATGAAAGGTTTCTTCCTGTTAGCGGATTCTATTGGTTCAATGTTCCAAGGACAGACTCTTTCAGGACGAAAATTTGCATCAGATGTGGGATCCCATTTCACCTAAAAAATTGTACAAGTTCATAAATAGATTGAATATATGAATATCAAACTAGAAATCATCTTCCACCCAAAGGCCATGCAACAATGCATGCAAAAAGGCACATTTTACCTTCAGACATCTCCATTCAGAATTGGGCCATCTAACGCGATCAACATCTTCAGTGCCGAGGATAGTGCCAAGAACTCTGGTTTTATGAGGAGTGTATTAGATTAAAGGGAGCTAGGAAATAAAGCAAACTCCAAACAATCAAATCATATGCAACAACTATTTGTTCATTTGCTTGGTTTTCAAATACTAACAAGGAAACTAATCCAAATTGTAGAATTATGCCATTCAATAGCTGGTGAATGCAGGAAATAAAAATGGAATTTTGTAAAAGATTATGATAAAATTATCCACAAATGCTAGAGCTGGGCACCTTTGTTCCCCACATTCTTTGCCTTCAAATTGCATCCCAAATCTTGTCCCGATGGAGTAATCAATTTCAGCAGACTTCATATACTGATCAAGTGGGATGATGAATTCAGAAGAACTTGTCCTGCAAATATGCAAGAATTAATGCATTGCTCTTTGAGTTCCAGCGTGACATATAAGGTTGCATATTAGAATGTCACAACTTACCAAGGACGGTAGTAGATAGTAAACATGCTTCTGGTAGAAAAGGCATGGAAAGCACTAGCAAGTATACCATGTCTCATGCCGTGACCAGATATCACAGATGTTGATGTATTGTTCATTAGTGTTGTTGCTCGGTGTACGCCAACACGAAGCTCTCCATTATCTCCTCTAGAGAACAATCATTTTTTCTTATAATTAGTTGTATTATTCAGCACTTAATGCAAGCATACACCAAATTTAGTCTTAAGCAACATTTTAAAACAATAAATCCTTCGAAAACTCCAAAAGATTACATCCTGAATCATTGCATCATGTGCATGTGAGCATGCATATACAACTATGCTAGAACATACAGTATGCAGAGCACAAAAGAGAAAAGTTTGTGCAGAAAATCCGAGCACTTTTTTTTCCTTTTTGTATTTGGAGAGGGGGGAGGGGGGGGGGGGGGGGGGGTTGGTTGCGGAGGAGGAGAGAAGGGAAAGGCAAAGGGAGGCAGAGAGAGAGAACCTAAGAAAGATAAATGTATCCCCAGCAACAAGCTTCTTTGATGTCACGAATGTACTCCAACCACTGGTAAGCAAGTGCCTTTTTGGCTGACCTACATTTGTACAGCAACACAGTCCATAAGGAAACTACTATACGAAATAGGTTCTTCAACAAATAGCCCTAACTAATTTAAATCAGTATTTGATAATTGTGGTACTCAACGTTGGTCCTTTAACAATTTTTGCTTAAAATGCTACATATATAATCACTTGATGCAATGAGCTGACAGTAATGCCTGAATTATCCCCAGGACTAAAAACAGATTGGTGGAAGAAAAATTAAGTACCACGAAAAATATGACGAAACCGCCATTCAGAACCATGCAAGTCAATCACGACCAATTCCTGCTGTGGGGTATGCTGAGACATGTCCTGCATCATATGCATCACTTAATAATGCATGTATGATATGGCCTAATTAGATCAGTTGAGACTTGCTTAATGTGTAAAACTGATTCCACAAGTCAAAGAATTATGCAAAAAACCATAAATATCTATGCTTGAAGACTGGAAAGACACTTGTCTGGCTATTTTCTTCTGCACAAATAGTTCGATCAGATGGTGAACTGGCAAGATTACCTGATTTTGCACCCTTTATTAGTTCAAAGAACAAGAAAACCCTGATTCACTTATTTTGGAGCAGCTTCTTATATGCATGGTATCTATCTTCAAAATTTCAAAGTAATCTGTTTTGAACATGAATGCACCAAAAAAGGCAAAAAAATCACATATTAAATACCAACCAGTGGCGGAAGACACCCATCATTAGCATGTCGCTTTGGAAAAGAGAATCCACCATGGTGTTTGTGTCAGATGGAGTGAGTTTCTTGCTAAAGAACCGTGAGAGCTACTCGAGGTAAGGCTTGATAATTTCTATGCTCCATACTTAGCTCATCTTGCTGTTAAGGCAGAAAAGCATAGTAATGATATTAAAGATCAGGACATAAAATGATACTGAACTGAATCTAATTCCTGTATCATCTCATCCAGCAAATTCCCCTCATCATCAAAATTTTGAAAAAGAAAAAAAAAATAAATAATCTAGGTGAGTCTAAAGCAAAGTAAATGAAAAAAAAGAAACTCTTAGCATCTATTAATTACTATCTAACCTCTGCCTCTGGAAGTAGAGTAATTGTTTGCAAAGACCTCATCTGTCCCAGTTTCAGCCTGCAAAGCCGCAATGAAGCATCAAAAACATCAACTTATCCATTGTTCCGGATTAAAGTCACTAGGAGATAATTAAACGTTAATTTTGCAGAGATACCTTAAGCTGGACGTGCAACACCCTGCAGAGGATCTTAGAAGGTAAATTATAGATGGGCATTTCCATTGTCCCATCTTTATTCACATATGCCTCAACCTGCATCAAAAGCTTAATTATCAAATACACACTTGAATACACAAGCAAATATTAATCCATGCAAAATATTTTTTATCAAACACAAGACCTCTTTAAAGGAAAGCCCAAGAAGGAAAACCAAAAAGGCAGTTGGAAGGAAACCATCCCATTTCAATCCCCATAACTATCAGAACTTCGTACAGTAATTATTTTATTCAATAAAAAATGAACTTTCCCTATTCGATGCGACATGTTATCGTCTCATATTCTTGCTGCTGAAATCAACCTTAACGTTATGATTCTTTTTATCCTTTTGCAGAATGGGATGGTTCAATTTCTCCTTATGTGTCAAGTTAGAGAGAAAAAAGACCTTAATTAACTGGTGTTAGTTTAAGGAGTTAGAACAAATGTTTAACTAGATAAAGAAAACTGCAAGGTATAAACGGAATAGAACCTGTTCCATGTGACCTTGAGGAAATAGAAAACTTTTTCTCCAGCGCGTGGCACATAAACAGAAGGACCCGCGCATGCATGCCATAGTTTCAGATACAGATCATCTTTTTCTCCTGATTTCACAACAAATCAAGCCTCAAAACACAAGACCAAAACACGAACCAGTTCTACTGATCAGTGATGAACAAATTGATTAAAACTTCAAGGACCCATTCAACTGATTATAAAGAGCCTGTACCGGAACCAAGAAAACAAGTGCGATGATTAATTAATTTACACTGTGCGTCATTCTCACATGAGGTTCTAACAAAATACAAAAGAAAGAACAAAAAAAATGCTGTCTGTGACTTCTATGAATAATAATCTTAGTCCAACAAGTTCAAGCAAAGAAAACAAAGGATATGCATCTCAAAATTCCACAGTGAACGATAAAGGAAGCAGTCAAGTTTAACGAACATGGTTATAAACAAGTTTTGGGACTTGGGATAAATAGTTAAGGGTAACATAAAACCCAAAGTTTACAAATGTTTTTAAAGGGAATGAATAAAATGTGAAGGACGACTGATAACTTTGTTGTTTGGAGGTCGACGCAAGCCGTCAACGTCGATATGTTTTCTGGACTGAAAAGTAACCTTAGCCTTCACACCATTCCGTTCACCATACATCTCTCTCTTTCTCTCTTTTCTATATCCAAAAAAATGATATAGAATAAAAGAAAGAAACCTTCTGTGCCAGAATAAGGAAAATGCAGCAAATAAGTAACAACAGAGAAAGAGAGAGAGAAAGGGCCAAGGCAAATGGGGCGTGCTTGAATGTAAGTTTTGGAAAATAAATAACAAAATGACAAAAGTTGACAGAAGGAGTCCTGAAGAATCAGGCGGTCCCGTGTCAAACAACTCTCTCTTTCACCCCCCACACCAACTACCCCCGACTCCTACAACCCCCCACCCCACATCCTTGTTTCGTGATGATTATTACTGAAAAACGTTTTTATCGTGTTCCCAAAAACTGCATGCAAGAGGAGAGAAAGGTTTTTTCTTTTGCTTGAACGTTAATTTGAAGATATTGCCTTTAAACTCTGCACTTCTTTCTCCCTCTCTTTCGTCCTTTATCTGAATCTTCAGAGATATTGATGATGCAGCAGTCACTGCTGTGTTGTGTGTGTCTGCATTTCAAGTCTCAACCCCCGTACTTTTGGGTTTTTTTTTTAAGACGGTGAGGTGTGGCTCGTTGGGGTGTCCCCCTGGCGATACTTGCTACTTCGGCACCGATGAATCCTAGGTTCTTTATTGCCCGATCATGCATATGCATCGCCTATGGAACTCTATGGCATTCTCCGCCTCTTGTTTTTTCCTTTCACTCTCTTTGAAAATTTTGAGGAGAAATGCAATTTTATAAATGTAGTTGTACTAGAGCATTAGACATTAGTGCATTAACAGCCGTTTATCTTGGATGATGATGCTGTTTTGGGTGGGTCCAAGGGGGTTGCGATCTTTAATTTGATTATGTGATACGCGACTTGGTCTATGACTCTAGGAGGACTACAACTACGAAATTTACTTGTCTTTCTCTTGATAAGAACCTTGGCTTTGGCTTGGCTGCATGTGTGGTTTTGTCTTTTTAATCATCATATTAAGACAGGTAATTATAGGGACAAACCACACCTGGCTTTCTCTTTATCATGTGCCCAATGTTGATTTGTTTAGCATCCAGGGGTTGTTAGCATGCTCTACATCTGGAGACCAGGCTCCCAGATCCTTTTCTACCCTTGACTTTAAATAAGATTAAATTAAATAAATATACCCGTATATATATATTTTTATGTACTTAGAAAAAAAAATTTGTGTTTGATATATAATTTTGCATACTCCAAGTACTACAACACTACTACTATGTCCCACCAAATAATTATCCTAAGTAGGTTTCTCACCTTTCACCCAATGTAACTATTGATACATCCATCTAAAGTCAAAATATTAATCTTCAATGTACCATTTGCTTTGACGATATCTTTGTATTAACCAATTTATTAGATAATATTTTTTGGTAGGCCAAAAACTAGTGCAAGCTGTTGTCTTCTTTTTGCAATACTCTGCCAATGGAGTATAGTCATGGTGCACCAAGGGCAAGGGAACGGAACTGACCTAGTGAGTTCTGGAGGGAGAGGAAAGGACATACAGGCTGGAGCAATTACAGCGGTGAAAACGACACGTCTACTCAACAAGCCGGTTGGGCAATCAATGTGAAATGCAAAAGGCGGCTCCATCACTGTTTCACAGTTTACGCGGTTAACGTCTGCTCGCCGTTAAACCTCAATGGCAGCGCCAAACAAGGACCAGACTCCAGAGACGGTCATAAACGGTTACCAAACCATTTGAGGAAAGCTACTTTGCAACGCCGTTATTATGGCCTTCCGCCCGACCATGCCTGCTACTGGGTGCCACGAAACAGAACCCGACAAACAAGCTAAGTTCAGAGGGTGACACGTGGACCTGGGTCCATCCTGCGATCTTGTTTCGATGGAGGCTGTTATGCTGTTCATATCATAGGATAGGGGCCTGGCCTAGGGGTGAAGTTAATTAATTTAAAGAAAAGAAAGGGGTGTTACGGTTACGTTTTCTTGGCTGTTTCTGGAAACTGCAATGATGGTGAATCATGAATGTGGTGGAGTAACCCACGGCAGGCTCTGCTGATGATGTGGGCGGTTCTTCTGCCCTCCGTCGTTGTTTCCTTTGGTTTCACTTTCACCTCAAAATGGCGTTACAGGTTTATCACCATTCCGAAATACCGAAAACTCTGTTAGACTATATTTGGCAAAAAATAATGCCGAAGGATAGCAATCAAAACTTAATTAGAACTTACCTACTAAATGCTACTAGTCTTAATACTTTAAAAATTTTCTAATTATTTAATAAGATTCAAATAAATTTTTAATGTTTAATAAATACAATAAAATTCATATATTTTATTTGAAATTAAATAAATTTTTATAATTTATATTTAATTAATTATCATTAATAATGCATAGCTTGTTAGCATTTCCCCTCTACACATCATGTAGGAAGGTGACACAAAAACCTAAGAGATATGCAATTCCAAAGGTTGATAGGGTAGTTTCCTATTTTTATATGCATACATATATACATACATATATACATATATATATATACTACAGACACCCAAGCATTATGGTCTATGAGACTCCGACTGGAAAGCTAGCTAAACCACCAAATCTAGAATATAAGGTGTGGTTTGGTATTTCATTTGTTATCTTTTCTTTTCTTATTTATATTTTATTTTCTGTCTTTTTAGAAAGCATGTCCAGTAATGTGTTTTTGTTTTTGTATTATTCTAAAAGGGAATCAAAATTTCTAAAATTGTTAAACGCAATAAATTTTTACATTGTTTCGAAAAACAATGCTTTCGTTTTATTACACTGTACACACAACGTCCATATATAAAAAATAATTTACATGTATATTATTTTAATGAAAATTATTAATTAATTAATTTTCAATAATATTAAGTTTAATATAAAGTATTAATAAAAATATTTAGTTAAATATTAAATAATTAAATATCAACACGTAATTTCTTTGAACATAAAAAATTTGAAATGCACATAAACTGATCAATATATATCAGTTAAAAATATATTGACCTATAAATATTAATGAAATTAATTTGAAATTGATGATGAATTGAAAGGAATTTGATTTATTTAATCTTATCTAACATAGGATTATAATTTATATTATGTTTAAAATTTAATAGGTGACACATATTAAGAATGACAATTTGAGAATATAAAATGAAAAAATTAAGTTGAACTTAATTGTAAAAAAAAAAAGAAATTTCAAGTAATTGAATGGTTTGATTAAATTAGAGGTAATTTTATAATTATGAAAATGTTATGTCAAATCTGTTAGGATTGGAGTTGCTTACGAATATGTGCTTATGCTGCACAAGTGGAACAACACTACAATAACTCGTATAACTCATCCAACACTCGGGAGGCAAGCAAGACAAGAGGAGAGAGAGAGGCGTCGGCTGTCGGCCTAAGGTTTGATCCCTGAAAATCGCCCTTAGAGTGATTCCTTGGATGTCGCTTTCTTTCGACGGTGAGCAGGTTTCTTCTTCCTCCATTGTTGGTTGTTTTCAGGTTTCCTTTGAGAAGTGAGAAAATCGAGAGTGTCTTCTCCAATCAGCACTAAACGCTGTCAGCATAAGCAATCACATTTTCTATTGAAGTTTTTTTTTTCATAGCCATTTATGTGAATTCTTATTTTTATTTTTTTGAAAAGCTGATGTGATTTCATTTCATAGCTCAATATGACTTTAGAAAAATCTACCATTAAAGTAGGAATCCTGCACGAAACTGGTTAAAAAAATTCCAGCTGGCAGCAAGAAAAATATTAAGACGAGAGCTAATCTGCTTGCTCATAAGATTGGCAAACAGCCAGCAGAACCAAACCCAAGGTCTAACATGGCTATCTCATAGCTATAAGACTAGAGATGTACCTATACAAGTATGTCTAACACACTAAATCAACTTATGTGGATTATCATTAAAGGTTGGACAATTACATTGTTTGAAGTTTACAATAACCCAAGCTTGGTGCACCAAGAGGAATGAGGCTGTGAACTTGTTTACCTTTAAATTTTGACATCTAAGGTACTAAGATAAAGAAATTTTACTCCCCTAATTGGACATATTTGCATTAAATAATAAAAAATAATATTACTTCAGGGAAGAATTTTAATTTCCGCTGCATTTTGTAATATGATTGCATGAATTTTCTCAACGACACCTCCATTGCATCTATGGTTTCTCGAATTGCAAACTTTGTTTAGATAAAAATCAGCAAGAATTGCAAGGTTTACTAGTCCATTGCTAAATCAGTTTTGATATTTTTTAACTTGATTTTTTTGGCACGTTTTGCAAGCAGGTCATTCCCCTTCTTCGCTGGCCTGTGCTCAAGTGGGCTTCAGTTAGCCCATCTCACCAGCAATCAGCCCATATATTGCCAACGGTTACCCGAAATAACCGGAATGTTACGTGTCTTTTCACAGGATTAAAATACCCTTAACAAATGCCCAAACTCCTTTATATAAATAATAAAATAATGGGTAAAATTTCCTTACTTTTTAAATTTGAATCAGTTTATTAATTTTAAAAATAAACTTTCTATCTTAAAAGCACAAATATTGTTAACAGAAAATATAAAAACAATTAAAATATTATTTTATTAATTTAAAAATTGTTATTATTTAAAAAAAAAAAAAAAAACACCTATGGATACTGTTCAAAGAAAGGCAGTGACTCCCTTAGGCAGCTCCCCCCCTAAGGGAGCATCGGGTTCCCCACTTGGGGAGCACCAGATCCGGTGCTCCTTGATGGGAATTTTCTTTAATTAAAAAAAATAAAATTATATAATAATATTATAAAAATTAATTAAAAATAAAATTATCATTTTATCCTTACCATATTATTGTGTTGATAAAAATATTAATAATTGATTATGATTGGAGTTACGTGTATAATAAAAAATATTTTTTTAAAATAAAATATTTATTTTAAAAATTAATATATTTTCATAAAATGTGAATAAAATTTAAAAATAAGATATCTCACACTAAAATAATTTTCCTTATCACGGAGGCACCTCATTGGTCAAAATGAAGGAGGCGCCAAAATCAGTAACCTAATCTTATGAACCCAGAGGATAAGGGAAAGCGAGAGTGTATCTTCACTAAAGGAAAAATCTCCTTTCCCTCACCATTCTCCTTTTAGCCGTTGCAGCGCTTAAATATATACTATTATTATGGCAATGGCAGTCGCCCACTGCTGCTTCTCCGTACTCAGCTCCACCGTTAAATTCCGTTACTCCGTTTCTTACCATAGGCGTCTAGCCACTTCCACCTCCACTTCACAGGCGTCCCTTGACGCGCTCTCTCCTAAAGCCACCAATGACAAGAAAAGAGCTCTGAAGACTAGCTCGTCGACATCTCCCCGTAAGTTCAACGCTGAGGTAACCTTTTTCTTTTGCTCAAATTCTCTAACCTTTATATACATTTGATTTTGGTTTCCCTTTTTTCAAGTTTCACTGAAACTGATGCGACTTGGTTGCATAAAATTTCACGTGTTATCGATGTTTAATTGCTTATAGTTTGATTGGGGGCACATTTTTTTTGGGTTTATACGTCGAGTTTTCCTCATTTAAGATTGGGCAATTGGAAATGTCGTTTGTGGTTCGTTTCTGTCGTTTGGGGAAGAGTTTAAGACTTTAAATCGGTACAATAACGTAATTTGGTTTGCAGGAGAAGGTGGAAGTAATCTTTTAGGGTTTAAGAACAGCCGCTGTTTGATTTTACTGATTATAAACATTATTGTGCCACAATGCATCAAAGTGAAGTGACAGGTCAAAGCTTGTAACAATAAAAATTTACATTTTTTTTTAATTAACCATTGTGTATGTGATTGCAAAGTAGGTTTTGGGAAAGCTTTTATCATAGAACAAGATGGATGGGCTATGTGGTATTGGTGTTAATAAGAGAATGCTCTGTGTCTGAACCTTTCATGCTATGTTCTGTAGATTCCAATGTAAAATTAACATGTTGGGGTTTCTTTCATAGCACCGTGGTCCTCAGATCAATTTGATCCTTATTAACTGGTCACTGGTCTATTATTTTGTATTCAGAAAGATCCTGTTTCCCAGAAGAATCTTCCCAGAAGATCAAAAGATGAAAAGTCTAGTTTATATGCTGATGGAATTAGTGGTAGAGGGGACATGGGGCGTCCTCAATCAACAGGTTTTAAATCATTCAGTACGCAAAGAAAAGACAAGAAGGAGTTTCAGCTTGACTCGAGGGAGCAACAAGTACATTTGCAAACATGTAGTTTCAAGGGAAATTGTTTTACTTCAAACAGTTGCTGAATGTGAAGCCTTGGATTACAGACTTACATGATTGGATTGAATTTATATTCAGTTATTGCTTGGCTATTTTTTCTCAAGTAGAAACCACAAGTTTAAGCTAGCTTTTTGCATATGCATAAACCCCTTTTTCCAGCCATTCAGGACACCTGGGGTCTAATCAATTTTCTTATGAGTTTGTTGTATATTCTTCTCAAGAAACCTGGATTTCATTATAACTTTCGCGTCAATTGTTAACAAGGCCAGTGTACAAAGTTACTTGACTTCAATCATTGTATACATGGCACCCAACACTTACAATGTAGAAAGTGCTAATCATGCTAATGTTGGAAGCCCTTGAAAATTTTTGAGAACTTCTTATTTGTTGTCTGGAATAGTCATAATTATAATTTTGTTTCTCAAAATTGCTACAAGTGTGCTTAATAAAACTCTTAGCATATTTGTAATACTACTTGCCTTATCACATGCTCACTTCTGTTTCTTTTGTGCACACTTGAAGCTTTTCTGTAACTCTTCATTTGTTATGACCTCTTTCCATTTTATTTCAGGTTGAACCAGGGAATCTTCAGGATGCAACCTTTCTCAATGCTGTTGTGAAGGTTCAAAATAGATTAAAGCAAAAAAAAAAAAAGACAACTTTTGTTATGTTGAAAATTTTCAATATATTTAGTTTGTTAAACAATAGAGTGCCATATTGCCTTTATCATACTTTTGCATTTCTAATTGTTGCAATTTTGAGTGGCTCATGTGCAAGTCTGGTAGCTTTTGTGTGCATCTTTTTTGCTATAGATGAAGTTCATGTCTATGCTGTAGATGGTATAGTCCTTAGTTTTGAGTTATCATACCACAAATGCACTATCATGATCTACCAACCCTTATCTGTACTCTTTCCCAAAGTGTCTAACATACATGTGCTATGGAAAATTAAGATGGCTAGCTCATTGGGTGCCAGGATAGTGCAATTGATACTGGTTCAGTTTCTCTGGAAGTTTTTGGGTACGCAGAGTGCTTGTTTTGGACTAAAATGCCATTGACATTTCTAAATATAAGAGAAGAAATTGTTTTTAGCTAAATAGGCATTTTGGATGCATCTTCAATCAGCAAGCTACACATATTCGTTACGCAGAACCCCATACTGATCTTTATTATCATTGTTACTATTTTTTGAGAATAAATGGTTATTAGAGTGAATATGTTGGTAAGTCAATAATTTACAGAGCTTTTCCTTTCTGTTTTTTTGCTATTTGTTAATTATATTCCTTGTTTTATCTCTGATTTAGGTTTACTGCACCCATACCGCACCTGATTATTCCCTTCCTTGGCAAAAGCAAAGACAATTTACAAGCACTGGAAGGCAATATTCTAACTTGTTTCCATCTCCTGAAGCATACAGATAGATTTAAGAAAAAATAGAGAAAGAAAAGCAGTTTAGTTGGTTCTCAGGCTTTTCTAATTCCTGTCAGTGGTTTATTGTCTTTCATTCATCTTATGTTGTATTTCAGGTATTAGATTTTAATTGATATTTATGTTCCTTTTGTCATGCAGTGCTTTCATGATTGGGGATGGGAAACTTTTAACAAATGCACATTGTGTGGAGCATGATACACAGGTAATCTATTATAGTTCTCGAGCATGCAAGTAGATATTAAATTATCTGTAAAACTTAATGGAAATAAATGTCAAATCATCATTTTGCTGAATAAAAAAGCTTTGGAGTTTGCTGGAGATCATTCTCTAAACCAGTTGTCACAGCTTATACTTTTTATTGATTTTAGAAAGCTGATGGCACCATTTCTCGTCCAGTATCAATGTAAAAGGAATTGGGCTAGAACCAAATTTAAAGGGAGTTTCTAGATTGCATTTGTTGTAGGATTTCAGATTTTAGGTTCACAATTTACTGGCAAGAAACAGGGCCTGCTTTAGTTTCCACTACTAAGAATACAAGCCCGGTTAGTTGAGCTTCTTTGACATCTCCTTTACTTCTGTATGCACTTTTAAAATGTGAAAGGAGAATGGCATATTAAGGAAAGTGAAGATCATTTTTGTATTGATTTTGAGAGTTAATAATTCAAAAGTTCCATTTACATTTTTAGTATCCAATTCGTTAGTTGGATATCTGCATTATGCTATCATACTCTTTGGGTTTAGATGCATATAGATTGGGATTTCTAACTTCTCTCCACTGAGACAAGGAGTGTGAAGTGGTTTGTGTCATATCTCATGGCCCTCACTACCCATGTCACAATGGACTTCCTGACCTTGGTTGTTAAGTGAAGTACATAAGGTCATCTAGTACTGTACATTTTAGCTATTTCAATTTTTCTCTCATAAGTTGGAGTTGTTGTTTATTTGCTTTTATTTCTTGTATGCTTTGATTGCATTTTGCTGTTATGTTCAGTTGGTTATTCTATTTGCTTTTATCATTTTGGACAACAGGTTAAAGTAAAAAGAAGGGGAGATGATACCAAATATGTTGCTAAGGTATTGCTCCTAATAAATATTTAATGCTTTCTCAGAATGTTTAGTCAGCAATGTCTTAAATCTCAGCCTCAAACAATTTGCTTAATTTCTATTAATGTGGGTTAACAACTGATGATTTTAGTACCATCTTTTTTTCCTCCATAGCATTTGAAGGCATAAAAACATTAGCCCAATGTAGAAAGTAGTAATGATTAATGATACATCACTATTGGCGAGAAAGTGTAAATCGGTTAGTAAATAGCATGACATTCCAGATATCAATGACTTCAGCAGTTTAATTGCTTAGGGTGGGTTCCTTTTCATTCACCTTGATTTTTTTTCCTGGTTTTTGTTGCTATGATTTTGAATATCAAGCCCACCTCTTCCTTTGTCCTTCTAACTGTTTCGTTTTATATTTGGGCTGCAGTCTGGCAATTGCCATTTACGTTTATGTAGGCAAAATAAAGAAATCTAGCTGAAAAAAAAAACTTTGTTTCAACTACTCAATATACTTATATATTTTCAAATAAAATATATGACCTGATACAAGTACGGTGTTTATGGGGATTTATATAGAAATGATAAGAAATTACATGAGATGGTTTTGAATAGATATAAAATGATGGACATGGCAAGTATTAGCACTTATAGAATCTACCCTCAGGCAGGCCCAAGATCTTGATGTGCCTTTTTCAAGTGCTATTTTGGTTGCTTCACTTCTACTTTCAGGCATTTTTGTGTATTTGAGGTCCTCAAGTATACTTGCAATGTTATCACTTCAGTTTTTCATATTTCTTAGCAAATCCAGATTAAGTCTGAACTAGTCTTATGGGTGATTGTTGAACAAATTAAATTTTATTAGTACTTTATTAGGATAAAAATATGTATGAATTTAACCTATATAGGTTTCCTCATCAAATAATAACCTACTGCAAATTATTATATTTGTTTAAAATACCTATAAAAAAGGATAATTATATTGAATGAAGATTTATGCATGTTGAAGCACACCATTGACTAGCAAGGTATAACAGTTGAAAATCTGATAAGTAACTTCCAACTTCCAAGCTGCACAGATCAGGAGTTGTCTGCTTGTTCACCTTTAGTAAGACCTTGCTGCTTACTTTCGTCTCATGATTTGATGAACAGGTTTTAGCTAGAGGTGTTGATTGTGATATAGCTTTGCTTTCAGTCGAGAGTAAGGAATTTTGGAGAGGAGCTGAGCCACTCCGCTTGGGACACTTGCCGGGTCTTCAGGTTTTGAACAGCCCTTCACTTTTTTCTGAGCATAGAACTATTCTCTCAGTCCATGTTGGAATACCTCATGCTTCATCACTAATCTTAAGGACGGTTCGGTTGATTCAATATCTTGATGAAATAAGTATCTAATTGGATTCAGCAGAGGACTAATACATCATAAAAGAAATGCCAATGGTCTTTGATTTTTTCTGTGTTTTTATTTGGGGTCAGTAATATGATCTGCTATTTAAAATCAAACAGATAAAGCTGAACAATTAAGAATCTAGCACCATTCTAAGTATTTACACCATTTTTCAAGGTCATCTAAGGTCATAATAAGCTTTGTATATCTGTAATGTTATTGTGAGAAGTTCTGCATATCTGCCTGATCTGTATCAGGCGTGGGATATGTCATAAAGATAGAAGGCATGAAGGCCCTCATAGCTTACACTGAACTTCAAAATAGTAACATAAAATTTGTTCCGTATTTCCTTTTATTAATATGACAGCCACAGTTCTGCTTTTTCTAAGTTAGATACAAGGTTTTGAAGCTTTAGTGAATAACAATTTCAAGTTTTTTGAGCTGTTTCTGTTCTGTTTTTTTCATGGGCAGGATGCAGTAACTGTTGTGGGATATCCCCTAGGAGGAGACACCATTTCAGTGACAAAGGGAGTAGTATCACGTATAGAGGTTTGATTCACCCCTTCTAACTGATAATGAACAAGTATCTCTCAGATCTTGCCTTACCTTATTGTTACTTTGATGCCTATATCCATGTTTTTTCTTTTTATTTTTTGTATATTTTCTTGCTCCCCAACATGTTAAGTGAATAACGGTATCAAGTTTCTAACCGATATTATATCCTCAGGTCACATCATATGCCCATGGCTCATCTGATTTGTTGGGCATTCAAATTGACGCAGCAATAAATCCTGGTCAGTAGGTCATTGAAATTTATGTATCTAAGCCTTGCAACATGTCACTTTTTGAAAGGTGTTGCCCATATCATTGTGATAGTCATTGCTTACTTGGTAGATTTTAGGTAATAGCGGTGGTCCTGCATTCAACGAGCAGGGAGAGTGCATTGGGGTTGCATTTCAGGTACATGTTTTGTGTCAATTTTGTTTGACTTTTAATTTGTGGATTTATGCCAAAATCTGTTATGAGACAACTTTGGTTTTTTAATCATTTATTCAGTTTAGTTCAATTTATATTCCCTTTTTTTCATAAGTGCCGTTGCATTCCATTTTCCTTTTGAGTTGTCTCAAAATGTTTGTTCATTACTAAAACAAGCATTAATTATTGATTTTTAGCGTCTTACCCTTGCCTTAATTGAATTAGTTATTAAGGCAAATGACGAGTTAAGCAATAAATGTATAACATGCAAAACTAAAGTGCACTCCTTAAAATTTGTAAACATATCAAAGAAGAATAGCAGTATGTGACAAGGAGAGATAGTGCTTTTATACTTGCTTCCTTTCAAATTTTGACACACTTGTTGGGCTGAATTTTATTTTATCAACTATTATTCTTTTCATCATGTGTTTTTTCTTGTGCTATGTTTAGTCCCTCTCAACCTTTCCCTTTCCCTAACTACCACATATTATGTTTTGATGGGAGACTTTCTTTAGGTTTACAGATCTGAGGAGGCTGAAAATATTGGTTATGTGATACCAACTACGGTTGTATCCCATTTTCTAAGTGACTATGAGAGGAATGGGAAGTACACAGGTGAGAGCCTTTTCCATACGTAGTCTTTTGATACTCTTTTTTTTTGTTTGAAATATGTATTTTGCTTGCATTTAAATCTATGTGCATAAGCAAGTAGTCTGTAGCATTAAGTGTAGATCAAGGTATTCTAGCCAATTTTTGACTCTCAAGCCCATTCTTGGCAACACGGTCTAGTCAAGCCTGGACTCTTATGGCATACGTTTTCATGCTACAGTAACAAGTCACGATGAATTGGACTGCAACACTAATTCTATAGTGATATGCAGTGGTTAGTAATTAACTCCATGAGTTTTCTGATGCAAAGGATTCACTGAAATGGTAATTGTAGAGCATGACTCATGTCATTGCTTACTTGGTGTGAACAATGGTTTCATGCTAGCTAGTAACTAAGAAGAGAGAGTAACCAAGAAAAGGAGCTTAGAAAAACATACTTGATATTTCACTAGGGAAAATATTACGGGACAAAAATTTGCCACTTTCATGGAGGAGTTGCATTATATAGGTATACATGCGGCACACCAAGGCGAACTGGTTACTATCCTTGATAGTGACTTAATGAGACCTAAAGTATACTACTTTGATAAAGCTTATATGACAAGTTCTAATCGTACACAACTTTTGATAAAGTAGATGCTAAAAATACTATAAGACAAATACTAAAAGACAAACGAGCTTGGACAAGCTATCTTGGATTCCTATGATGCACTTATTTTGATACTTTTTCTCGTCTTTTGGTGAAACGCTTTTACTGATAAAGGCATCACAACACACTGATATATTTAGTACACACTAGCACACTTAATTAAAAATAATTTTGATGATCATAGGTGATTAGTCCTAATTATTGTCAAATGGGAGACTGAGATGGGAATTTTTTGCTCGCGGAAAATCCATTTTTCGAAGTCTCAAGTCATATAAGATCAGAGATTCCATTTCCTTTTGTGGGGGAATATCTTTGTCCATGGTTCAAGTTCTTGTTCCATGGTTTTTGGTTTGGTGGAGTTGGAGGTTGCCAAGTTCAAGTTTGATGTAGCTTGCTTGATTGGTCCTGGTTGTAGTTTGTATATGAAGAAATCTTCAAGGTCATAAGTCTTTTCTGAGGTCATAGGGGTCTATATCAAAAGCATAAGGATTTCGAGAGTCATCCTAGTAGATGGGTGGCTTTGGTTGTGGGTCTTAGATTATTGGAGTTTGCCAGTATTGGTTCCACTTTAATGGCTTTAGACGGGACATGTTAAATTCAAATTCAGGGTGGAGTAGTCTAATTTTTGGGTTTGTGAACTTTTGCTCATAGATGTGCTTGTCAATGTTCAGCTGTGTGATGTAGTGATTAGGATAGTCCTTCCATGCCATCTAGTCTTAAGCTTGGGGCCAAATTTCGAAGGGTATGGTTCTATTGAGCTCACAGAGCTGTCTTTGAATCTCATCATACTCCTAGGGGTGAGTAGTGATTTCATCATGGAGGGAGTATTTTTGACTAGTAAGAATGGTCGTGTAGGGGAAAGTACTAGGTAGCACTTATATAGCTACAAAGGTTGTGAAAAATGCGGATAATGTAAGGTTTGTTTTGTTCAACTTATGGTATGTTATGATTCATTATTTCCAAATGGGTGTGGGCCAGAACCAATCGAGAAAAGGTTCAAGATTTTCATGACTGAGGTCAAGAGGATGTCTTCTGGGCCGGACCATGTTTTGGAATTTTTAGATAGTTTTTAAGAAAAGGTTGAGCGGGAATTCTATGGCAATATAATGGAGGTGATAGAAATACCATAGGTAACAAGGGTTTCTTTGGGGAAGGTTATTCATTGTCTTGTGGGGAAGTAAAGTGGATGGATAAAGGGGTATTTGGGGTGTATTCTAATTGGTTGGATTGATGTATCACCATATCTCATGATAATGCTAGATTGGTAGTAAAAGGGTTTGTCTTTAGTCTTGAAATTTATAGTTTTGTGTGCGATTTCAGAAACGAGTTCTGAAGGAGTTTTTGAAAGGGAAAAGATTCATTGTTTAGGTTGGTGGAGGAGGAAGGCTCTATTATGACAATGATTGGGAGAATTTTTGAGGAGAAAGGTTTATGTGGAGATATGAAGGTTGGTCTGGAGAGCATGTTTGGGATGAAATTGTCTTTACTTTTTTATATGTTTGAAAGTCATTGAGTACTGTGAAAACCATTGCACCCCATCAAACCAATTGTGTGTTGGGAAAGGTTTTCTTCTTGAAGTTAAGTATCTGTTCAAAGGTTGACATGTTAGGCTCAATAGTAAAGTGATGACCAATGAGATGGAACTCAAACTTCTGAATTCCATATTTTATTGCAATTATTTCCTTGAAAGTGAAGTGATGGTGGATTTTCAAATCTTTAAATTTTCCACTTTTGTATTTGTAAATCTTTCTCTTTTGATTGATTTCTTCGAGTAACGCCATAGATCAATATATATTACATGCACCTGCTTGGAGGATTCTTTTACCATGCAAGAGAATCTGTAGAGTTGGAAGTGACTAGGCAATAGATTTGATAATCTTGATTGTTTTTGTTTGCTTCTATGTCCAGTGAGTTAAGGAATCTTTCTCTAACATTAATCGAAGTGGACTCGATATCTTGACAAAATTTGGAATGGATTCACTTATATAATAATTAACAATTTCAAAAAACTGTTGAACTTGTCTTTTTGTGAGGTTTTCATTCAAGAAATATTGTAACTTCTCGACAATGTATGGCTGAGTTGTGTATTGCTCATCTTTGACATGCATTCCAAATAAATCTACCTCTTAGTACTAATTATTATTTTCTTATCGGATAACATGATATCATATTGTTGGATAATAAATTGAAATCGTTTCAAAAGGTCATGCTGAGCCAATGTCTAATTGAACCCATGTTTGGTAATGGGCTTGTGAGGCATTTCACGTCAACAAAAGGTTAGAGCAAGTACGTGGGAAGTTATGATTGATCATTAGTTATAAGCCAGTCCATTTATTCCTAGTAGATGACAAGTTTCCATTGCCAAACAGAGAGACACTCCTTACAAACTTGTTAAATGCAAAAGTACTTTCCAAGTTCGATCGTAACGTAGGATTTTGGCAACTTGGAGTTCTTCAGTCTGAAAGATACATGACCACACTTTGCATCCTATAACACCATTTTCAATAGATAATGCCTTTGGTTTGAAGACAGTAGCATCATTATTTCAAAAAGCCATGACTCAAATATTTAGTCCAATTTTGGATGATGCTATTATCTGTGTTGACGATATCTTATTGTTTTCTCTGATGAGACAAGTTATAAGTAACTTTTGAAAAGATTTCAATTTATTATTGTACAGTGTGGCATCATACTATTTGAAAAGAAGATGATAATTGGTATCACAAAGATTGATTTTCTTAGAATGCATCTCAAAGATGGACAATACATAACTCAACCACATATTACCCAAGAGCTATAGTCTTTTTCAAATGAACACCTCACCAAAAAACAAGTCTAATAGTTCTTCAGAATTGTTAATCATATAAGCAAACTCATCCCAAATCTCGCCAAAATATCAAGTCCACCACAATTGATGTTAAAAGAAGATTCTTAACTCAGTGAATATAAAAGCATGTAAAAGCAGTCAAGATTCTCGCATGGCAGGAGAATCCTCCAGATGGATGCAAGTAATAAATATTAGTTCATGGTATTTCTCGAAGAAATCAATGGAAACAGACAAATTTGTGAATACAAAATGGAAGATTTAAAAGTTAAAAATCAAGTCTCACTCCACTTTCAAAAAAATATTTGTAGTAAAATATGATATGCAAAGGATCGAGTTTTATGTCATTGGTCATTTTTTCGCTATTGAGTCTAACTTGTCAGCCTTTGAATACATTTTAAACTTCAAAAAGAAAACCCTTTACAATGCACAATTGTTTCGATGGACACAATGTTTTTGCAATACTTATTCACTTTCAAGCATATAAAAGGCAAAGACAATATCATCTCAGACATGTTTTCCAGACAGCCTGCACAAGTACCCATACCAAATTATCTGTTTTTACCTTTTATTGAAAATGGACTTTAGCCATGGACATGGTCCTACAATTCGCTAAATTTTTCCCTCTATGACAACCCATTCTCCAAGGCATCCTTTTACTAGGCGGTGTTACACTCCTTATGCATCCTTTTTCCACTTTTTCGGATGATCGGTGGAAACACTATTTGTCTGAGTACTCCACAACACTCAAAAGATATGTTCTCATCTACTTTGATAAATATTGTTGTTGGGAGAAAAACTGTTGGTATTATGAACCTCTGCATATCAGGCATGTCAACCTATCATTATTGAATTGATGATTCTGAAGAGTTCAACCCGACCCCATGGACTTCAACGTTGACATGGACCCTGTGAAAATTACTCCTCATCAAAATAATGTTTAATTAAGTATGCTAGTGTGTGCTAAGTATGTTAGTGTGTTGTCATATCTTCATTGGTAAAAGAACTTTACTAAAAGATGCGAGAAAGCATAAAAAAAAGTCACATCAAAAGAAGTGCATCACATAGAATCTAAGACAGCTTGTCCAAGCTTGTTTGTCGTTTAGTATTTTAGCATCTACTTTATCAAAAATTGTTTATGATTAGAACTTGCTATATAAGTTATTACCATGGATAGTAACCAATTCGTTTGTCTTATATATGCTTATAAAAAGCAACTTTTCTCCATGAAAGAGGCAGATTTTAATCTTGTAATATTATTGTTAATTTATGATATGAATTCATTCTTAAGAATTTTAGAGATGGAGCTTCAATATTTTTATTTATATTCTTCAAGGATGTCGATGCGTGAGGCTCTTAGTTTAAGTGTCACATCTTGAAATCAAGACATGCATGGTCATTTTAGCAATACACTTCAAAAAAAAAAAAAAAAAAACCTTGAAGCAATGCTTGAAAGTAATACAAAGCTTTTCTATGTATCACCCATATAAAAGACTAAAATAAAGTATTCTTTCAAATTTCTTTAATGAAATT